TCTCATATATTTGTCGGTATTCACCCTGTCGTTTGGGAGATAGAGAAAACCAGTTATAAGGGAGAGCCTTATTATGTACTCAACATTACGTGGCAAGGTGTTTTCAGAAGCATGACTTACCGCTAGTTGCAACTAATGGCATACACATCGTTCAAGTACTAGATTAGGCAATCCATGTTCTGTTTTCAAAATTTGATGCAAGCCATTATTCACACCAGTCATCACTGAAGCATTGTTAGTACCTATACTGACAGATTTTTAATTTTAAATTATTATCGTTCAATGTGTTTATGATTACTTCAGCAAGCCCTTTTGCATCAGCTTTTGTAATAGGTGTTAATGCCAGAAATGTTGACAGAACTTTATTTTGTGAATTACTGAAATATCTTATTGCTATTCCTAAGTATTTCAGGACACTGATGTCAGTTGACTAATCTAGAATGAGGCTATATTTTTGGTCGCTGATATCCAACTTCAGCGATTCTTTGAAGTGTGGTCCAATATCTCATTAATTTTTTCCGAACATTTCGTTCTATGTATATGTATGTCGTGGCCGCATTTAGAATCGTAAAAGAGTTTTTTACACATCTCTCCCAAATGTTCTACTGTCACAACGGAACAGTGTTCGGCAATAAATAGAGCCATGGCTGCTTCTACTCTACTTGAGGGCTTTATTTTATCAACTGGCAGGAACGGTGGCAAGGGCTCTTGTTTCGTTATTATTTCCGCTTTTGATTAGAGTTTTTTTAGACTCCGAGTGTTTTTTTATATCACTGATTTTTGCAAAAAATTCAGTGTGACAGCGAAACATACATTTTAAATCAGTTCCTTGAACCGGTGCTAACCATCCTTTGAAGTCTGGATTGTGTTCCCATTCTTTCTATATTTCTGTGAGTAACTTTTTTTCTTTATAGGTATTTCCATTGTTCAACAAACGTAATCAATCACTGACTATCTATTCTAAGTAACTTTGGGTTTACGTAATTTACAGCAAATTTAATAAGCAACCGCTAATCTTGTACAATTAGAGAGCACAATACACTCCAACACTCTATCAACGAATGAATACTCAAATATACTATACAATACCTTAGAAAAATCACGCTGGGATTCCCCTGTACACAAGTACAGCGTTGGGGGAATCCCCGCTTAAGCATAAGAATTTATGGCAGCGTTCCGAAATTGGATAAATATTACTCTCACAAGAGTCTGTCTCATTCAAAGGCTACAAGTAAAAAAAAGACAGACGTGTCAGAATGACATCCGATTTCTTAACGCAGTTCCGAATATAGAGAAGAAAGATCTCTGGGCTAAGACCTTGCCAAATTTTATGAAGATAGTTAAAAGTTAGTTTTTTTTATTTAAACGTCGTAAAAAAGAAGTCGTTAGAATAGTCGCTAGTTTTTTTTTGTCGCTGGACACATAATTTAAGCCGCTGTATAAAACGAAATGTCGCTAGATCTAGCGATAAAGTCGCTAAATTGGCAACACTGATTATATTCTCTATTCTACTACAAACCATAGATAAATAAATATGTAGCAAGCTACAAACTACAATACAAATTGGGATTGCTTGGACATAACAAAACAAAACAATTCTATGTTTTTACAATTCCAAGTTTTTAAGCGCACATGACAGTTGTTGTTGTTTTTATTATTTACTCGAGAGAGCAGGCAAAGGAACTAAGCCATACAGCCTATTTTATTATTTTGAATATCTTCATAGTTCACTGCTTCACAATATGTTGATGCGTCACATTGGGCAGCCCTTGGGAGATTTTGATGGCAACTTGAGCCACCAGACAGCTGACAGTTGGTGATGGTATCTAAAGGTGCCTATGCAGACAAACAGCTTATCTTGAGAATCCATCACCACCAGAGCACTTGTTTCACCGTTTCCACTAATAGTTCACATGCGTAGGCAGTTAATACATAAAATCGCACCACTTTTACATCTCAAAATCCACTTCAAACTATTATTTAACCTATAATACAGGAGCAGCAAACCGCCGCCGGTCAAATTCCCGCCAAAACTCTCGCACATAACAGGATTGAGTTGACAGTTGACAGCTTTGGGCAAATATGGAGTGTAGAGTAGAAGGAAAACCATCTTATAAGGTGCGAAAGTTGAAAAAGTGTCCCAATATATACTGAAAATAGAGGTTCCAAAACCTACCACAATAGCGCTGTCGTCTGAAAAACTACGATATGAATATAGCTGTTGTAGACGGAGTGAAGTCAGCTGAATTCAAATATTTATAAAATTTCATAACTAGAGTAGTTAGTAAAATGCCAGTATACAAAACCTCGCCTGTTTACGTAGTACAAAACCAAGCGGATTGGTCGGTGCTTGTTTATTTCTCCATCTTATTTTAATAAATTTTGGCGCTTTTTTTTAAATTTATCCTATGCTACTGCAGCGCACCCTTATTGGACGCGTTTTGAGGGACACTTTTCATATACAGAGATGGTCCTCCTTCTACTCTACACTCCATATGAGCAAAGAAAGAAAATAGTTATTTTTTTAAACTGGCTTTACGGCTCTGGGTTCTAGTCTTTCTCAGCCTGAAAGAAGATAGGTTGACAGTATGGAGTGTAGAGTAGAAGAAGGACCATCTCTATATATGAAAAGTGTCCCTAAAAACGTGTTCAATAAGGTTGGCGCTGCAGTAGTATAGGGTAAATTAAAAAAAAGCGCCAAAAGTAATCAGAATAAGATGGAGAAATAAACAAGGACCAACCAATCCGCTTGATTCTGTACTACGTAAATAGTTGAGATTTTGTATACTGGCATTTTACTAACTACTCTAGTCATGAAATTTTTTAAATATTTGAATTCAGCTGACTTCACTCCGTTCACAACAAGTTATCTTCATATCGTAATTCTTCAGACGCCAGCGCTATTGTGGTAGGTTTTGGAACCTCTATTTTCAGTAAATAGTAGGACACTTTTTCAACTTTCGCCCCTTATAAGATGGTTCTCCTTTTACTCTACACTCCATAGTTGACAGCACAGTCTAATATTATGATACTACGTATCAGACAGGGCACTCCCATAGAACAAAAGTGAACTTGTCTGAGCTCACATATCATGTATGAAAAGCTGTCATTGACAGCTTTTTTATAATTTTCCATAGTGACGATCAAAGCGTGGTACGATACAGCCTATATAAACGTAGTGGTTATATTCTGTTTGCCTATATTATTATAGGACCTAGATAAAAATACTACTTTCCATCTATTGTTTTAATCAAATAATACGAATCCATAAATAATGAATTCGCATTATTTAATTCGAGCTTGTTAGAAAGGGAATGTATAAGAAAAGAACACTGTGTTATTTAAACATTTTTTTATTTCTTAATTTTGTTTTAAATTTATTAAAAGCTTTTAATTGCATTTGAGCACCTTTCAATATTTTATTTATGACATTGCACCAATTAAACACTGTCAATCTTAAATTTAATGTTAAAAAGTGTTCAGAAACAGCATCCTTATGCAGAACGCAGTTTAGATTTGATGAGAGTTTTTATATCTTTTATGTTATTATCTCAAAAAATCTCACGGCATGTTCCGAAGGGTAGATCAATTTCTTTTCTTTTATACTTTTAAATTCTTTAAAGCAAATCCAATTATTGATAGAATTTTTATCATAACTGGATATTTGTAAAATCAGCTTCACATTGTCGTCAATTTTTTTTTAGTATGTTTCTTATGACCCACCCAGCGGTATATGCATGAGTGAACATTAATTTTTTCATGCTTTGCTGAACTTTCACTTTCTACCCAACTCAATAGCTCAGGACTCGAATGAATGGATTTGCTTAGTATTATCACATTTTTCTTTTATAAAAAATGATGATTTTAATTTTCCTCCTCATCGGGATGTGCCGAGGTTGGTGCGTAAACCTGTATGACCTTCAGCGAATACCGTTTGGTGATCTGAGTATACGTTGTTAACGAGAGACTTGTGGATGATAAATTCAACACCTCCTTGGGACAGATTGTCACCCTCCCGGTGATAGAACAAATTGCCGGATTCGAGGATTACCGTGTCCTCCCCCTCTCTTCGGACTTCGGATAATCCTATGACATTCCAGCGCAACTTGTCTAAAGAAAACATGAAGGTCTAGTCTGTTTCCACTAACCTCCATTCACACATACGGTATTTATTTTAAGGTTCCATTTTTATGCTTTCTACCGACTTCAAAAAGGAGGGGGTACTCAATTCGACTGTATGTTCTTTTTTATATTTATTACCTCATAACTTGTTTCTGCATGAAGCAATTTCGATAAATCTTTTATAATTTGTAAAGCTGGTGCTTCACATGTGATCCCATATAAATTTGATCAAGGTCTGACCAATAGTTTTTGAATTATTCTTAATAATTTATATTGAATTCGGTTGTACAAAATTTTAAATTAGGTATTGAATTAACTTCTTCAGAATAAATGCAGTTTCAATTTGCACATAAGGCACGAAAAGTTTTTTCTACTCGTTTTACAATTACATCACAAATTCACAAAAAAATAGATTTTTATCTGGTACACACATATTTATATAAAACACGTTTGCATAATATTGTACATATTTCACCAGATAGCTCACGAAAAAGGTTTTGCGCCAGTGTGTGTTTTTAAATGTCTTTGCAGATGCCTTTTTGTAATACATCTATATACACAGATATTACACGAAAAAGGTTTCTCTCCAGTATGTATTTTCATATGTTTTTGGAAACTACTTTTTGTAATACATCTATATTCACAGATATTACACGAAAAAGGTTTTTCACCGGTGTGTATTTCCATATGGGTTTGCAAATCAGTTTTTCTAATACATCTATATTCACAAATATTACACGAAAAAGGTTTTTCACCGGTGTGTATTTTCAAATGTTTTTGGAAACTACTTTTTGTAATACATCTATATTTCACAGATATTACACGAAAAAGGTTTTTCACCGGTGTGTATTTCCATATGTTCTTGCAAACTATTTTTTCTAATACAATATATATTCACAGATATTACACGAAAAAGTTTTTTCACCGGTATGTATTTTCATATGTGTTTGAAAACTGCATTTAAAACTAAATCTAAAATCACAGATATTACACGAAAAAGGTTTTTCATTGGTGTGAATTTTCATATGTATTTGCAAAGCACTTTTTCTAATACAGCTATATTCACAGATTTTACACGATAAAGGTTTTTCACCGGTATGAATTTTTATATGGGTTTGCAAATGACTTTTTGTAATACATCTATATTCACAGATATTACACGAAAAAGGTTTTTCTCCAGTATGTATTTTCATATGTTTTTGATAACTACTTTTTGTAATACATCTATATACACAGATATTACACGAAAAAGGTTTTTGACCGGTGTGTATTTTCATATGGGTTTGCAAATCAGTTTTTCTAATACACCTATATTCACAAATATTACACGAAAAAGGTTTTTCACCGGTGTGTATTTTCATATGTTCTTGCAAACGACTTTTTTTAATACATCTATATTCACAGATATTACACGAAAAAGGTTTTTCACCGGTGTGTATTTTCATATGGGTTTGCAAATTACTTTTTGTAATAGATGTATATTCACAGATCGAAAAAGGTTTGTCACCGGTGTGTATTTTCATATGTTTTCGCAACTCACTTTTTCTAATACATTTATATTCACAATTATTACAACTGTACATTTGTTTAGCGATGTGCGCTTTAAGATGTGACAAAATGCAACGTTTTTGAGATGTTTTAAATTCGCAAATATCACAATTAAATATTTCTGTTTGTTGTAGTACTGGAGTTTGTTCTACTTGTGTCCGAATTGCAGTGGTGTCTGAGTTCTTTTGCGTCTTATGACTGTATGAAATGTGTTTGGCGAGAATGGCTTTTGTTGAAAATTTTTTACTACAACCATCACATTCAAAAATGTATTTAGTTGATGTCCCAGATGTCGTTTTCTTAAGTATATTTACACTCTTTTGTTTTAAAATTTTCTTCTTCATTATTTTTGCAGAATGCTTTTCTTTTTTATTAATTGGTTCATTATCTTTTTTCATTTTAGGGTTTGATTTAATAGTAGGGCCTTCAAAATTGGGGTTTTCTTCACGAACATCGTTTATGTTACAATCAGTAGAATTTGATCTAATCTTCTTTTCAGAAGTTTCTGAAAAATTATTTGTCGTAATTAAACTTTTTATTTATTGTAAGTTATTGCATCTTTATTGCAAGAGACCTTAAACGGTTTACAATGGGCGGAGTTTAAGCCTTATGGCGTTCTCTATCGGTTAACCCATGCAAAAATAGATAAGTTATAATATTTTACATAATTATACTAAATAATGTTGCTAGATATAAAATATTTTAGCCAATTACTCCGAATAATGTATCTCATTTTCTTTTTTGGTGGGAAAGAATGGTTCTTCTGACCATGTTATAATTACATTAATCTAATAATTGCTGTTTCGAATTCCACACACAACTAGTGTTATACACACAGTACAGTCGAAGTTGGCGTGTAAGTGAGGGATAAGAGAATTCATCATTGCATGTTGTCCCGTGGGTTTCGTAAGAGGCGACTTTGGGTTTGCCAGAAAAATCTGATGGCTTCCGGCAGACGCCGGTATAACCAGCTCGTTTATTTCAGATGTAAAATATCGAGACCGGCGCCAGGCGACATTGCCAGAGGTGCTCACGTCTGGTTCTGCGATCGTCAGTCCTATGCCAAGCGTGACGCTCAAGGAAAATTCTCCCTACATCGGGAGAGATTCTTCCCTGTTCAGCAGAGAAAGTTTACGGGAAGATTAAGGAATTATTTGCAGGCCATACAAAGATTCATAACATGCCCTGGTAATTCGGAGGCTCTTTTATTTGCCGTAAAATTTCACAGTACACTAGCAACCCAGGTCCGTCCTCCACTGGCACCAATAAAATAGTTAATTTTGTAAGTAGGTATGTATGTATTTTGTATGTATGTATACATACATACATACATACACGCCGTTTCCGTTCTATCGATCCCAACAGCTTCGATGGAAACCGTATTGAAGGTCACTAATCATCTTATGCTTTTGGAAGTACCGCGTGAGCTGGCAGGTAATAATGGATTCCATTATTTTGGAGAACAAGGAGGTGACGACGATAGGCCTGTATTTGGATAGGTCCCAGCCTTTTTTAGGAATCGAATGCACTAAAGCTGTCTTCCATAAGCTTTGAAAGACACTTAAGGAGTACGAGAACATGAAATAAACATAAAAGTAACAAGAACATAACACAACAACTGCATTATAACTTTGTAATCTATACTAATATAATAAAGTGGAAGGGTTTTTTCACGAGGAATAGTATAGCATTAGGCTATACCTCTCAGTTAACCTTAAATATTGATTTTTGCTAACCCGTCACGTCAAGTGCTACGCCATTTTACTTTTTACGTGCCAAACGTCTAAATAAATAGGCTACGATTCTCGAGAGATACATTCATTTGAATACGAATCATCAAAGAGATAACATCAAAATGGAGATAAATTTAATGAGAGCTCTCTCTGTTTAAAAAATGTCTACCAAAGATATACACAGCGACTTGGTGAAATATTAGAGGGACTCTGCTCCTCTATATTCCACAGTTGCACGCTAGGCTGAGGAGTTTTAGCTAGGCAGAACATCCACGGAAGATAAACTCCCATTCACATCCCTCACTGAAGATAAAGTGAAAAGAGTCGAAGACGTCGTATTGGTAGATCGAAGAGTGACCATCAGGCATATAGCTGACGTCACAGGGATCTCATGTGACAATGGTCAAAGAAACGTTGCGAACTACTTGCGCGTTGGGTACCGAAAATGTTAACCGACGAGCAAAAGAAAAAATTTATCGACATATCGAGGGTTAATCTCGAAAGGTTCAAAGTAGATCAGATTTTTTTATTACGTTTCGTGACCATGGGCGAGACCTGGATCTACCATTTCGATCTTGAAACCAAACAACAATCAATGGTTTGGAACCAAGCCTCCTACAGACGCCAAAGAAATTCAAAGTGCCAAGTTCGGCGGGATAGGTTATGGCGTCCGTTTTTGAAGGAATAATTATGGTGGAATATTTGGAAAAGGGAGCCATTACTTCCGGCTTATAGTCTCGACTACGCAGGCCAAATAAGAAGATTGCAGGAAGCTATCAAAGAAAAAGACGATGAGACGAGTTGGAGTGCTGTTTCAACAAGACAACGTTCCGCCTCACAAAGCCGCAGTTGCGATGGCTGCCATTCAAGAAACAGGATTTGAACTGTTTGAACACCCAACCTATTCACCAGATCTAAGTTCCCAGTGACTTCTATCTATTTCCTCCACTCAAGGAACACCTTCGAGGCAAGAAATTTGCAGACGATAGCGAAACTTAAGAAAGATTTTTTTCTAAGTGAATTCTGGGATTATTACAAAAATGGACTAAATGCGTTGACTTGTTAAGACTATGTGGAAAAATAAATTATTTTTTTAACAATAATCACCGTGTTTAATATTGACTATCAATAATTACTTTTGGATCACCCCTCGTACTCACATCCTAAAAATAACTAAAATCGCAAAGGATGTTAAAAAACGGCAGAGGTGGCTTCGCCCGCGTAGTAAGACAAAACAAAAAGATTATCAATAGAATCAGACGTTACATTGCGAAAATCCATTATATTAAACACTAGCTGATAACCGCTCGCATCGCTGGGCGCACGATATTTTATTGCGGAACCTAGATGTGACTAAAGTAATTAAGTAATTAAAGAACAAAATTTTGTATGTATAGTACATCTCTACAGTACATGTAATACAACTACATGATGCAAGAGGAATTGGTAGTGATTTCTTTTTATTTTTTGATAAATGTTTTTTAACATAAATTAATTTACCTTTGTCATCGTCTTCTTTTTTACTTTTTGAACCAAATGCAATTAGCGGCAAGTCGTACTCCGAATCCGTATGTCTATCTTCAATAGCATCAATCTCCAAATCTTCTTGTTTTTCAGCACTCTCTAGAATAAAACACATTATGACTCAGTAAATAAAATAATTACTGATATTTTTTTTCAAGCGACTAGATCATTATAGTCCATCACAAAGCTTATGGGCCTGAGCCACCCACTTTCATTACCGTACTGCATGTTTCATAAACTAAGTGTAATAAGGTGGCAATGGGCCGAAGAACTGAACACCGATGGGGAAGAGAGGTTCTCGAGTGGCAGCCTCGTACTGGTAGACGAAGTGTAAGGCAGCCACACAATAGATGGAGTGACAACCTGGTAAGACATGCAGGAAGTCGATGGATGCAGGTGGCTAAGGCCCGTGCTTTGTGGCATTCCTAAAGAAATTGGTAAAGACAGGTTGCTTACCAGTTGTAAGTATATCATTAATTCCTATGAAATTAATCCATCTTAGTGACATACATACTGGCTGCATTTATACAGGGTCAAAATATTTTCAAAATATATTAATGCATAAGTAAAAAAAAGTCTAAAGCTCATTATTTTACATTTACAATTATTTATTTATTTAAACTAACAACTATCATGACAGGAATAACCTAATGCGACAGTGTAGTTCTTCTCATGCATAATAAAAATGTGGTCATTAACTGTAAAAAATTGTAAACAATTCTACTCTAGTGTATTTACTCAAGGTGCAACAGAATAGATCAATGTCTTCAGCCATTCTATTAAGAATGCGTAACGCAAAGATGTTTTATAGGTTCAGATACCGTGTACGCGCGCCTAAAACGCTTCCATTTCAAAGGCGCCAATATTGGCGTATTCGTTCGATCGTTCCGCCATTACGCCAGCGACGTTCACTGTGAATATACGTCACGCACTGGTGTTTTTAATTTCGCAAAATGACTGTTTGTGCTGTGAAATCATTTAAAAATTACTCTTGGAAAAAAGATAAGGATAAGAACATCACTTTTCATAAGTAACTATACAATTTTATGGTGTATTTCTTTGTAAAAGAATACGAAAGCTAAATGTCAATACAAGTAATAATACTGCGCAATAATATTCGAGTGTTGCCTAGTCTATGAAATGTTTTTACCATTTTTTAATGTCATGATCAACCACAAAGGTTATCTGTACAGGGGTTTTAAACAGTCTAATTTTACAGATTTTACCCAACCTATAGAGTTAAACCGTTTTAAGGGTTAGGGTTGAACTACATCTGGCAGCATGAAATTGCACTTTCCTGTGCTTCTATCCTTTTTGGTCACTCAGAAACGTTATAGTAGTAACCGGTATAGTTCCACCCTCAAAAAGCCGATTGTAAACCGGTTTTAAAAGTTTATCTATCATTCTTGACAATTCATACTAATATAATATTATAAATGTGAAAGTTTAATTTTTTTGTTTATTTGTTTTTGTTCTTCCTTCACGCAGCAACGGAACGGAGCAATTAAAAAAAATTAAACATTTTGCTATCTCTTGGCTGAGGTTCACGCTTAACCAAACTTACTTTTTTTCGTAATTTTACTTAGGATTGAAAAATAATTTAATGTCTTCGTAAAAAGCGGCAATATTTTTTGTTCTACAGTACAAAAGTGTAGTGCTCTGTATATATTTAGTAATAATAGATTATAAATATATGTTACATACATAAATATCTACTGTGCTTTTTTATTTATTTTAACTGTTACATTAATTATAGGTTTTATTACATATCTTCAATATTTTAGTGCGATGTTCGTACCTACATAAAACACACATAAGCAACCATATCCCCATACACACACACAAATGCACACGCCACGCACACACATTTTATACTCTTAGAATCAATAGGTACGTCAATAGGAATGAAATATAAAATCTCCCACATTTTTTAGGTAATCGATTCGCACTGTTATTACCGAAGTCACGCACATTAATGCAGCCATGGTGCGTAAGATATGCACGTCACGTGGTACTCAAGCACACATGAATCAAAGACTGTCTTCACTATGAACGTTGCGGTGTGTTAGCAACACGGTATCTGGACCTATAAAACATCTTTGGCGTAACGTTTGTGTTAAAAGCGCCTTGTCTTACTCGACATTGGTACGCGTCTGGAACACACTAATCCGCCCCAATATGTCACTATAATATAATTTTGTGTCCATGGGCTATAGTAACCACTTGCCATTAGGTAACTTGTAGCTTATTTCATTAATATTACAAAATGTGTATATCTTACCTATTTCATGATTCCCATTTTCTACAAATGTGGAATTCTCAATTTCGAAATTCTCTTCCTCAACTTTAACAGATTCAAGACTAAACATATCGTCCTTACAATTATTTTCTACATCACACTCTACTGGCCTGATATCTATATGACTAATTGGTGTGAATTAAATCTTATCTCTAGCCTCATGATGATTTGGTATTGACTGAAACCAAATTCTTTTGTTAAATAAGAGAAAAAGCCAGCATAGTGGTGCCGCAGGAGACTCCATACTACCATATCATCCCGCAGATGTCGTAAAATGGGACAGAGGGAAACTGAAACAGGAGATGGACAACAGCATCTTCCTGACAACAACTACAAAAATAATTAAAACCGGACAAAGTGAGGGTTCCGAATAAAATTAAATAAGAATGTAGATAGTTCATCCATCCCGAGCATCGAGTCTCAACAATATTTCGATACAGATTCACGAATGCTGTAAATTGACAAAGATATTTGTTGATCTTTGTTTACTGAGTAGTATTACATATCGGGTGTTCGTGAAACGCTCCCGAAAGCGAAGACAGATGATAGTAGGTACTACACTTTAGCACATGGGTCACAAATTAATTTGATCCCAAGGAAAAAAACATCATCTTTTGACAACATTTTATTAACTTTATTCACGCTAAATCATGTAAGTACAGCTAAATGAAACGATAATTTCATAAAAAAAATCATGAAAATAGTTAAACAAAAAACCAGCAGTGAAACTTTAAATAACATCAGCTGACAATAGGGTCAATATCCTCGCGGGCGCCGAACTCTCATAGGTCCCGTCACGTAAAAACGCTGGCCTTGAACCTGGGCACTGAGCGATTTATCGATCAAATTGGTGTTACGAAGTTTCATTTTTTAGTTTCATTTTTCATTTCTATTTTCTTATACAAAATCAAAGATAACGATGAAATAGTGTTTATAATTGTGTGAGTACTGAGTACCCAATTAGGTACGTTTATTGATTTCAATAATTTTTTGTTGGAAAGAACTGCTTGTTGCATCAGGGTACAATTGATTGTGTAATTGTATTAAAAATGACAACCGTAACTTTTAAATTCCATATGAAGACTAGTCGTAGGGATAAAACTTATAAATTAAATAAACGTTGGCAATGTCTTCACATACATAAGGCTTTAACGGTGTGTGGAAGGTTCCAGTGCTTCAAGGACTTTACCTTGTGCGCATTTGTTTTAGCGGAATTGATTAATAATTTTAGTTTTTGAGACAGTTCCGTGTTGACTATCACAAGAGACAGTTCAATTGCTTTGTTTATTAAATTATTGTCGTTATTACTTGTTATTTATTACTTAATGATATTATTCCTGTTGTTACGTTTTAAGTTTCTTGTTTTGTTTTTATAATGCCTAACGTGTACGTTTATAGTGCTCGTGAATACGACAACATGTTAATGTGCCTTGGAAAAGCTCGCGGGAATGCTTCGCATGCATTGCGAATTTACCGAGAGAAATTCCCAACCGCTCGACATCCAGCTGACACTCGTCTGATAACAGCAGAATTTCAGCGAGTGTGGGAAAATCGGCCCATTGCTCTGGTGGCGGCAGGAGATGGAAGTCAAGTGGCTGTTCACTCAGAGGAGTGCATTTTAGATGTCGTTCGCCGGAATCCGAACCTAGGTACACGAAGTATCACTAAATTGTTAAGGCTGTCGGGATGGAACAAGTGTGTCATACTGTACAGTTCACGAAGTGTTAAAGCGTAACCGAATGCGCCCATACAAAGTGTACAAAGTGCAAACTTTAGTTCCCGGCGATCACGACCGCCGGCAAGTTTTCTGCCGTTGGTTATTAGACCAGCAACAACGTGTGTCTGGTTTCATTGAGCACGTCACCACGGAGGATTTAGAGCGGTAAGCTGTTTCACACCTAATTTTTTTAAGTAACTTGGTACTGGACTGATCTGAATAGGTACATAACTGAATACATCAAATAATAAACATACCTACACGATGAATAAAAACGCATGACTCTAACCTTGGTTACATTTCATTTAAGTATTTTTTTCATTAGCAGGGAATCGAACCAGTTATTTGGGTTATTTAACCTGTGAATTCGAATTAAAATGGCTAGGTGGAGACAAGCACAGTGGCAAAGTAGTAGGTTAAGTATATAAGTTAGGTATTTAGACAAGTGTTATAAACTATTAGGTATTGTGGTATGGCCCGCTAGCTGCGGGCCACGCGAATTCGGCGTTGGCGTGTACATTGACCCCTAGTCAGCTGATTGTAATTCAGTAATTCCACTGCTGGCTTTATGTTTAAGTATTTTCATGATTATTTTAATGAAATTATCATTTCATTTAGCTGTACTAACATGATAGAGAATGAATAAAGCTAATAAAGCGTTGTGAAAAGATGATTTTTTTATCAGGATCGATTTTATATTTCACCCATCATCAAAGGTATAGTTGGTACTGTCGTCTGTCTTCGTTTTCGGGAGTGTTTCAATAATACCCTGTATAGATAATATTTCGTTTATATACAATAGAGTTAATAGTATAAACAGTTAGACAATTGTTTTTGAAAATATAAATACTTAACTTACTGCAATTAGTAACATAATAACATTGCTCTAACGAAAAAGTAAGTTGGATTGAATGATGAACTTAACTTTGCAGTGGAAAAAACACACTAACTAAAAGTGTAATACTGTGGACAGCGTATTGGCGGTGTAAGAATATCCACTAGCCTATATACCTACCCACGGGACGAGAATCGTAAGATGCGACATAGGGAAACAGAAATAGGAGTTGGGCAACAGCATCTTCCTGATAACAACTCAGACCAATATAAACTGCAGTTGCCAACCTGCCGAGCGTGGCAAAGTGGGCAAAACCCCTCCTATATGAAGCAATTTATGAGGGGCTTTTATAGGTTTTAATGGATGGAACGGATAATACCGTGGACCCTCCTGCAAGCAACTGCTCCAGAACTGCTTTTGACTCAATAGCCTGTAGTTGTAATGTTCTGTAACGAATGAGTCTTGCATGACAGGTGAAACAAACAATTATGGGCTCCTCATCCTCATCCATCTGAAAATATGAAAGTTTGTCATAAATATGGAAAACTACTTAAATATACAAGTTTGTAATAAAATCTGTTGGCTATCACAATTCTCTTCATCCTAATCTTACTAGTATAATACCACCTGATGGTAAGTGAATGCCCATACACATCTACAATTTATCCCCAATTAAGAATCAAAATGCAGATGTGCTGTCACCTCTGAGGACCAAGACGGAACACCGAGCCGCAGAAAAAAGGATGTACGGTTCTCTACACTGGCTTAGTTTTCCATTGACGTCCGTCAAGTTGGATGTTGATATGTATTTTTATTAAGAAAAGTTACACTATTATAAGCACACACACACAAAGTTTCAACATGCGGAAACGCGTAATTTTTGAGAAAAAACTTATTGAAAATCAATTATTCTTGCAATGTTTATGTCTAATCCTTCCGTGAAACTGGCGCCATTTTGTAATGTCATTGTCGATGTCAATAGGGATGTCGATTCTTTCCGAAAAAGGTCGATTTTTAAATCGATTCAAATCGTAAGCTGATGTATCGGTTCACACAAAATCGATTTCTAAAATATCTATATTTTTTTAATGTTTGCATTTATATTGTAAATATAAACACATTTTATGAAAAACAAGAAAGATACCATGATAAATGATCTCTTATTGAAATTTGTTTTATTTTAACAGTACCTATTAGGGCAGATAACAAATAAAATAGGTTAGGTTCAACTTATGTCAAAGAACCGAATTGATTGACCCCGACTTCACCTGGTACGAGTCTGTCCTACCCCTAGAGTAGTTTTATAGAGCCGGAGGCGCGTAGGGGGAGCGGCCTCCGCCTGCTGTAACAAATCCCTCCTCGCCTCCGCAGCTTCGGCTTGTTGGTCACCTTCGGCGACCAGCGGCAGCCGCTCCGGCTCGTCCGATGCCTGCGATTTGTTACGCTAAGGCGTTGAGGCTGCTCTTCCCGCAGCGCCGGAGACGTAGCAGTCTTAAATCAGATACAGAAATCCTTCTGAATCAGTCCCCTTATTCTTTTATGATGAAGGGAATTTTTTTTCTCATAAATTGGATTTATATTTTCATTATAAATGCAAACATGGAAAAATTATAGATATTCTAGAAATCGATTTTCTGGGAATTGATACATCAGCTTACAATTCGAATCTATTTAAAAAAATCGATCTTTTTCGGAAAGAATCAACATCCCTACTGACAATAATAATAAAAAATGGCGTCAGTGTCACGGTAGGAATTGACATAAATATTGCAAAAATATTTGATTTCGCTTAGCTTTCCATTGACGTCCGTCGAGTTGGGTGTTGATACGCATTTTCACAGAAAATGTACACTATTATAAGCACACACACAAAATTTCAAGATGCGGAAACGCGGAATTTTTGAGAAAAGAATAATTGAAAATCAATTATTCTTGCAATGTTTATGTCTAATCCTACCGTAAACCTGGCGCCATTTTATAATGTCATTGTCGACGTCAATAGGGATGTCAATTCTTTCCGTAAAAGGTCGATTTTTAAATCGATTCAAATCGTAAGCTGATGTATCGGTTCACACAAAATCGATTTCTAAAATATCAATCTTTTTTTAATGTTCTATTTATAATATAAATATAAACCTATTTTATGAAAAACAAGAAAGATACCATGATAAATGATCTCTTATTGAAATTTGTTTTATTTAACAGTACCTATTAGGGCAGATAACAAATAAAATAGGTTAGGTTCAACTTATGTCAAAAAACCGAATTGATTGACCCCGACTCCACCTGGTACGAGTCTGTCCTACCCCTAGAGTGGTTTTATAGAGCCGGAGGTGCGCAGCCTCTACGCCTTAGCGTAACAAATCGCAGGCATCCCTCCTCGCCTCCACAGCTTCGGTTTGTTGGTCACCTTCGTCGACCAGCCTCAGCCGCTCCAGCTCGTCCGATGCCTACGATTTGTTACAGCAGGCGGAGGCTGCTCTTCCCGCAGCGCCGGAGACGTAGCAGTCTCAAAATAGATACAGAAATCCTTCTGAATCAGTCCCCGTATTTTTTTATGACGAAGGGAATTTTTTCTCATGAAATGGATTTATATTTTCATTATGAATGCAAACGTGAAAAAAATATAGATATTTTAGAAATCGATTTTTTAGGAATCGATACATCAGTTTACAATTCGAATCTATTTAAAACTCAATTTTTTTTTCGGAAAGAATCGACATCCCTACTGACAATAATGTGCTGGAAGAAGAGATAGACAAGTTGCGCTGGCATATTATAGGATTATCCGAAGTCCGAAGAGAGGGGGAGGACACGGTAATCCTCGAATCCGGCAACTTGCTCTATCACCGGGAGGGCGACCATCTGTCCCAAGGAGGTGTCGGATTTATCGTCCACAAGTCTCTCGTTAACAACGTTGTAAAGATCGGGAGTGTGTCGACGAGGGTTGCGTACCTTATACTCAGAATCACCAAACGGTATTCGCTGAAGGTCATACAGGTTTACGCACCAACCTCGGCACACCCCGATGAGGAGGTGGAGGATATGTATGAGGATATCTCTAGAGTCATGCATTCCTCCAAAACCCATTATACGGTGTTAATGGGAGACTTCAATGCAAAACTAGGCACAAGAGAGAACGGTGAGCTGAAAGTAGGGAAATTTGGAATAGGGCAACGGAACCCAAGGGGCCAGCAGCTAGCCGACTTCATGGAGAAAGAGGGACTCTTTATGATAAACTCTTTCTTCCAGAAGCGGCCCCACAGGAAGTGGACCTGGTCGAGCCCCGACGGTTCGACAAAAAATGAGATTGACTTTATTATGACGACCAGACGAAAACTGTTCAGTGATGTCTCCGTGATCGCGAGGGTGAAAACTGGTAGCGATCACCAAATGGTTAGAGGCACACTGAACCTAAACGTTAAGTTGGAGAGGTCTCGTCTAATGAAGTCAACGCTCCGTCCCCCTCGTGCTCTGTTCCAAAGTCCCGAAACCTTTCAGCTCGAGTTACAAAACCATTTTCAGTGTCTAGAAGACTGCAATGAAGTGGACGATATGAATGACAAGCTCGTGGAAACTGTCCATGCGGTCGGAGCTAAGTTCTGCAAGACCCGCCACAGAAGAACACAAAAACTCTCCGATCACACTCTTAATCTCATGGCTGTTAGACGGGAGATGAAGCTACATTCTACAACAGACTTGACAGCATACAGGCATCTGAACAGACAGATCTCCAAATGCATGCGGCGGGACTTACGCAACTTCAATACAGCTCGTATTGAAGAAGCGATCGAGCGGAACCAAGGCTCCAAAGTCTTTGCCAGAGATCTGTCTGCCAGAAAGAGCCAACTGTCAAAGCTGAAGACAGAATGTGGCAGCATCGTTTCCGGGACACCTGAGATTTTGAGTGAGATTGAGAGGTTCTATGGGCAGCTGTACACGTCATCGTTGGAGCCACACGCAAGTGTGATTAACGATCCAAGAGCGAGTCTCATCCGACACTATTCCGAAGATATCCCGGACGTCAGTCTGAGCGAGATTAGAATGGCTCTCCAGCACCTTAAAAACGGTAAGGCCCCAGGCGAGGATGGAATTACAGCGGAGCTTCTGAAAGCGGCTGGAAGACCGGTACTTGAAGTCCTTCAGAAGCTCTTTAATTCCGTCCTCCATGGTGGCATTACACTGGAGGCGTGGAGCAGAAGTGCGGTGGTCTTGTTCTTCAAGAAAGGTGACAACGCTCTCTCGAAGATCTACAGACCGATTTCCCTTCTGAGCCGCGTCTACGTGCTGTTTTCGAGAGTCATTACGAATCGTCTCGCGCGCAGACTTGACGACTTCCAGCCTCCCGAACAAGCCGGTTTCCGAAAGGGCTTTAGCACAATAGACCACATACATACCCTTCGGCAAATTGTACAGAAGTCCGAAGAGTACAATTCGCCACTATGTCTGGCGTATGTGGACTATGAGAAAGCCTTTGATTCCGTCGAAATTTGGGCGGTGCTGCAGTCTCTTCAGCGGTGCCAAGTTGACTGTCGGTATATCGAAGTGTTGAAGTGCTTGTACAGTAGGGCAACGATGGCTATCCGAGTACAGAATCAGAGTACGAAACCTATCCAATTGCAGAGAGGTGTAAGACAGGGTGACGTCATATCCCCGAAACTCTTCACCGCTGCATTGGAAGACGTTTTCAAGCTTCTGGACTGGAAAGGATACGGTATCAACATCAATGGCGAGTACATCACTCACCTTCGATTTGCCGACGATATAGTCCTTATGGCAGAATCGCTGGAGGACCTAAGCACTATGCTCAATGACCTCGATAGTGTTTCCCAACGGATACGTCTTAAGATGAACATGGACAAAACAAAGATCATGTTCAATGTCCATGTCACACCTATGCCGGTAGTTGTTGGGAGCACTAAGCTCGAAGTTGTTGACAAGTATGTTTACCTGGGACAAATAATCCGACTAGGTAAGTCCAACTTCGACCGAGAGGTCAATCGGCGGATTCAACTCGGCTGGGCAGCGTTCGGGAAGCTACGACACATCTTCTCGTCAGACATACCTTAAAACCTGAAAACGAAATTGTACAACCAGTGCGTGTTGCCAGTGATGACTTACGGAACTGAGACGTGGTCCTTCACTGCTGGCCGTATGAGGAAGCTCAAGGTCGCTCAGCGAGCTATGGAGAGGGCTATGCTCGGAGTTTCTCTGCGTGATAAACTTAGGAATGAGGATATCCGCAGTAGAACCAGAGTAACCGACATAGCCCAACGGATTAGTAAGCTGAAGTGGCAGTGGGCCGGCCATATAGCTCGAAGAACCGACAACCAATGGGGAAGAAAGGTTCTCGAGTGGCAGCCTCGTACCGGTAGGCGAAGTGTAGGGCGTCCCCCCACGAGATGGAGTGACGACCTGGTAAGACATGCAAGAAGTCGATGGATGCAGGTGGCTCAGGACCGTGCTTTGTGGCATTCTTTGGGGGAGGCCTATGTTCAGCAGTGGACTTGTGAAGGGCTGTAATGATGATGAATGATGACTGACAATAATAATAAAAAATGGCGTCAGTTTCATTGTATGTAGGAATTGACATAAATATTGCAAAAATATTTGATTTTCAATACTTCTCTCTCAAAAAGTACATGTTTTCGCATATTGAAACTTTGTGTGTGTGCTTATAATAATGTAATCTTTCTGTAAAAATACGTATCAACACCAAACTCGACGGACGTCAATGGAAAGTCGTACCTTTGATTTTCAATATTTTTTTCTCAAAAAGTACGTGTTTCCGCATATTGAAACTTTGTGTGTGTGCTTATAAAAATAATCTTTATGTAAAAATACGTATCAACACCAAACTCGACGGACGTCAATGGAAAGTTCTACCCTCTACACTCACCATACAAATCAGAATTAAGCTGCTGTTTTACGCTGGTATTCTGTTTAGTCCATGGTACCACCCCAGTACAGCCGACCCACATAGATATATAGCTGCAGCATGACAATAATAATGTCCTACGGACAGAATTTCGATCACAATAGAGACTATATATTAGAGCAGGGCAGGATTATATTGCATATTGGTGTGTAAGCAAGAACATGTGCAAATTATTCCCTTCTCAGACTTGTCTTTAGGAATACGAGAAATATGAGAGTGAAGAAATTTTTGTGTCTGCACATGCGCACTCTAACCTCCCACTTTAATAGTCTGATAGAATGGATTTTAGTGAGTGGAAGACCAAACCATAGTGGATGTTAATTTCTTGACATAACATCGTAGTAATACTCAGTAATATGTACTAGAACAGACACCGCGAAAAATTCTATGCAGCAGTGCGGGTCGCGTGGAAGAAACAGAAACAGTTAAGCCCGCTGGCTCTATCGCGTGTTGCAAACAACTAAGTCTCTTCTAGTATGTAGTAGGATTTCAGGCTAATTGTTGATTATCAGGTTCTGGTTGCACTATATCAAGTAGACGTGGGCGTTATTTC